TTCAATTCAAAAATAATTTTTTTTCAACAAAAACATGTCGAGAATTATGTCGATTTATATGGTAATAAATCTTTGTGGATTATCTATGATAAAAAAAACATCTCCAAGAGATATTCTAACATCGGCTGCACATCTGCTGTCATAAATTCTTTAACTGGTATGTTTTCTTTTTTCTTTTAATTGAAATATAACGTCTGCTTGTCAAATCACTATAATTCTATAAAAAATTAAAAAAATACACTATTATTAATTATTAAATGAATGTTAATGAGAAGGGTAGGTTCTAGATAAAGAAAAAGATAAAGATAAAGAAAATAAACAAAATAGAACAGGCATCACTGTCTCCGTCAATTAGCAGTTAATAGTTGTTAAATATATCTTCCTAAAATCTCAAATAGGTCTGTCCGGATTAATTGCATTTCTCTATCCTGACTATTTATATCGTAATCTTAACAGATCGATAAGCCGATAATATATCTCCATGTATTAATTAATATCAAAATTGTATTACATTGCAATATTAAACAGTAGATGAGTGAATGAATCAAACAATAAATCGTTCATAAAATTAAAGCAGCAAAAAATTCTTGTTTTATTATTGCTAACATCCGATAAATGAAAACGCAATTTCTTAGAATGAACTCGGATAACTCTCAAATTCTACTATTATATAAGCCTTAATCGGATTTTATTTTATTTCAGTTATTTCATGTTTTTCGTAAATTTATTATTAGATGAGATAACCTTTATAGAAAATAAAAATTGATTCAAACACAATTGGTGTTTTCACGCCCTGAATTCTTAAAATATTTCAAGATTCCTAGAATAAAAGCATTCAGCAAAACAGCGCCAAAAACAGCGAGACACTTGTAGCCGAGAAATTCAGAGAATCAGCGAAGTCCTATTTCGGGAAATTACCTACCTTTGTACACATAGCGCAATAACAAAACAGTATTCGCGAGAGATGTATCTTTTGCTTACTTCTTTAATTTAATAAAATGTAATTTTTACATTCGTAAAATATGCAAGTTGTCAATTGATCATCAATTAGATATGATAATAAGGTGACCACATGTTTATTTCACAAGTAGCTCTTCTTCAGATTTATTTATTTCTCAAAAATTCAATTTTGTCTTTTATTTTAATGTTATTGTACGAAATTACTTTCTTTAGCATTTCAATGTCTAATGTCTCACTAATGAGCGGATGTTTATGAAAACAACTGACAAATTTAGTTTTATACAAGGGTAATATTAGCCCAAGCAAAACAGAGTCATAATAATAACAAAATGATTTCAAAATGATGAGATAATGGAAAACTTGAAAAGGAACTTTTAATAATTAAACTTATAGCTTGATCATTTTGATCATTTTGATATTATGAATGACTTGTGATTTATTTATTGAAAGTTATTCTAGTTATACTGTGCAAGAAAAATTCAAATTAATATGCAAACGTCTGACAGTTACAAATTAGTTTGAAAATATTTAGGAATAAAGTCTTAAAATTTTCAGATTTGTCCCCTATTTTCTTTAAGAAAATAAGATCACCCTATACACGTGGAACGTCGTTATTTTCTTAACAACCTTAATGACATTATAGATCTATTTGTGGCTACGTTCTGCTTTATGTACATGATATATTATACATGATATATTATATATTAATACATGATATATTATATTTTATCGTTGTTGTTCGAATGTTAAACAAGGATAAAATGATACATCATGCGCTTTATGAAACGCAACGTGTTTTTTTTTTGGTACTTTTTACTCACTTAAATTTTTCGTTTTCTCTCTCCAATACGCGAATATATAAGGTGTTTTGGAAATTGTTTTACAACCAGAAAGGAGATGATTCTATGAAAAAAATAAATAAAATAAAATTTTTTTATAAATTACTTTAAAAAGTCGTCTTTAAATATTCTCCAGATACAGCTGTCTCGACTTAAGATACATATTATATCTGTTCTTGTACATAATATTCGATTTTAAAAGCATATAGAAAAATGTTGTTTTCTTTACAGTTTTTTATTTTTTGATTTACTTTTCGTTAAATTGCTGTAGCTCAAGAGACCGTAAACACTTTGCAAAATTGAAAATATAGGTACACTGGAAAAACGGTCTACATAGTTGCATTAATAGGAATTTTGATTGAAAATAGACAAATCAAATTTTCTGATTAAATCTATTATAATTTTAGTTGAGATAACCAAAATTTTAATTGATATAATCGACATTTTCTAATTTATTTATTTTCAA